ATTATTAAATTTTTTGTATATCCAGATTTTTTCTATGCTCATGTAGACATAACCTGTATTATATATGTATTTCTTATACTATACAAATATGACAATATACTGTTTTGTAAACCTTTTCACTTAAAAAACATATTGGGGCATCTTTCTATATCCATACATAGGGCTCTACCTTCTTTTTATTTTATATTTATCTATTAAAGATTTTATTTATTTATTTGAGAGAGAGAGAGTACAAGCTGGGGAGAGAGGCAGAGGGAGAGGGGGAAGCAGACTCCCCGCTGAGCAGGGAGCTTGACTCAACTCAGGGCTCAATCCCAGGACCTTGGGATCATGACCTGAGCCAAAGGCAGATGCTCAACCAACTGAACCAGCCAGGCACCCCTCTACCTTCTTTTTAATAGCTAATTCCACAGTATAAATATACCATCATTTATTTATCCAGATCTATAGTGATGACATTTAAATTATTTTCATTCTGTTCTAATTGTTATACATAGCTAGAATGTACCCTTCCTATAGTTTCTTCCAATAATTTTTGTTTTAAATCATTTGGAATAAACCTAACCTACCACTTACTAGCTCTTTAAACACCTGAAAATCACCATCATATGGGGGCAAGTGGGAGAACAAATACAAGTTTTGAGTTACAATATTGGGATATCAGAAATCAATAGGGGAAATGATTTCCTGAAATAAAAATCTAAATGTCTGACAACACATTAAAATAGGTGCCTACGTTATGGCCTATGAGGCTGATGGGCTATTACATAATGATCAGAAACATGAAGACTGCAGCATCATGACAAATATAACACTAAGTGAGAAAAGACGTAGTTACATGAAACCAAGAACTATGAAATATGTCTGCATATGAAAAGAAGAGATACTCAAATGAAATGTAGCTTAGTAAGGGTGCTAAGAGCATGGATCACCATTTCCTTTCAAAATATCCTTTAATATTTTATAATTTAGTTTCTATGGGGAATGAAAAAAGAAAAACTGAGAGCCATTACAAAGGTCAGGATCGTGATTCTCAGTTTCAGGGCCCTCAATGCCCTCTTTCTTCTCTGATTATTTAGGAGATATCAACTGTCATAGTAATAATCAGGTCTTGAAATTCCCTGATGGCAAAGCTACAATCAGCAAACAAACAGTGACGTGTGACTGTCCACAACAGTATGGAATGGAAGGTGTTAGAGATTAAACAAGAAAAAGAATGGACAATCAGGAAGAGTTCCAACTTAAACCATGTTCACAATCATCTAGTGCTACCATTCTATCTTCTCATGGATAGAGAACTGATAAGAATTTCCAGATCATACGGTCAGGGCAATATGGGGGTCAAAAACCCAAGGTAAAGATTAAGACCTGGGTACTTAAGGAAGAAATGGTCATACTCTCAAGCCAACACAAAGTTCCTATTTCAGGAATTTAAAGTCTCACACTCTGGTCAGAATACCATTCTTTAAATTCATAAGCACTCATTCCTCCCAAAAAACTTCATCCATTTTTTTAAAAAGATTTATTTATTTATTTGAGAGAGAGAGTGTGTGTGTGAGTGCCAGCTGGGTGGGGTGAGGAGCTGAGGGAGGAGAGACAAACCCAAGCAGACTTCATGCTGAGCACAGAGCCAAACATGGGGCTTGATCCCACAACACCAAGATCATGACCTGAGCTGAAATCAAGAGTGGGACGCTTAACCAACTGTGCCACCCAGGCGCCCCTCATCCATTTTATAAGCACTGATTAACTCCTTGAACAAATCTAAGTAACAACGGGCTTTTTTTTTTTAAGTATTCTTTGTCATTGATACCCAAATATTTTGCAAATCACTGGCCTGTGATGAATAATGACAGACAAACACTAGTGAGTAAAAATGATTACATTATTTTGGTCACTGTGTGCCTTCGGCATGAAAGGTGGTTTATTTACAATGCCACATAACCTTGGTTCTGAAGAGAGTGACATATAAGCTCTGGCTGTTTAAATATTAACTACTGATGAGTCACATTTGCAGCTGGAACTCACTCTAGAAAAATAGGGAGAGAAATGTTCATGCTTGTAAGGACTGGGTGTTCATGCTCATATTTATAATAAGACATGGTGAAAACTTGTCTACTTTCTTGTCAAATGATTTACTTTCAAAATAAATTTCCTTTTTTGGCCATTCCCAGGAAATATTTTTATTAATAACTTGGCAAAAATCTAAAAAGGCATGCTTATCAAATCTTCCTAACTTTTTTCTTTCACCAAAATACTTCCTAACTGCCTATCATGTGAATGAACTATGTTGGGCCTTGAGATAAACTTGAGACACAAGGAAACAGAAGATACAAGCCTTGTTCTCCAGAGCTTATGGTCTCATTGCAGGGCTGGGGGGTGGAATATGCAATCACAATTAAAGAACGTTCAATACATGATCACCAGGAACAGAATCAGGATTGAAAAAAATTCCAATATGGCATTTAAGAGGTTTAGGTGTTCAAAATCAATTATATAACCACAAAATGCAGAAAGTCTGGGTTGATGGCAACTTGTATAAAAAAGATGTAAAGGTTTCAGCTGAGTAAAACTCCATAAAAGCATAAAAGTCAACTAGTGAAATGGTTAAAATAGCTCATCTAAATTAATAACAATATTGTATCCAGACCAAGGAAGATAATAATGCCACTAACTCCACATCCAGAGTTAGTGGTGCCGTTTTATGAGGCTCATTTAAGAGGAACATAATAAAACGAGGAGAGAGAGGGAGGGAGAGAGGGAAGGAAAGAAAGAAGAGAGAGAGAGCGTGGATTCATGCTTGACGGTGATAGTGAAGTATCCATAAAACGTATATACAGAAAGAGTAAAGGAACTGAAGACATTTGGCTTGAAAGAGGAGTTGGGGTGAGTGAAGGGGGCAGCATATAACAGCTGTGTGATGCCTTTGAGCTGGTAACAGAGAGCTTAACTGTGCTACATGGTAATAAAGGCAAATTTTGGCCCCATATGAAGAATTTCCAGTGCCCTGGGCTTTCCAACATTGAACTTCCTCGAAAAGGAGTAAACTCAATGGTTACTAGTAGTCAAGCAGAGATGGATAATCATTTGTTAAGAAAACCCTAGGAGCAATTCTTACACTGGGTAGAAATTTTAACAGATTTCTGAAGCTCTTCCTATCTTAGAAAAGCTTCTTGCTACCTTGTTAGCTGCAGGCAACAATATTACAAAGATGACACCCACCATAGCTACTTTTAAGAGCAGTTAACAATCTCAAAAAGCAGAGAAGGAGTCCGGAATCACCACCGAACTTCATGTAAGATCTAGAAGGTGACTTTGAGATGATTTGAGATGATTGCCATAAGTACTGGGAGGGAGACCAATGATGGCCAATAACTGGCCTGACCACTCAAACAGAGAGCATTGGCTATCCCCACTAGTCTCAGAGGTTGCTATTTCCTTCCTGCCTTAAGTGAAAGGCAATTTTTTTAAAGTGCCCTTTCCTTCAATCCTCTCCCCATTTAATCCTTTTCAGTGCATGAAGAATGTCAAAACTTCAAGAATCTGCAATATTCTCCTGTATTCTGGAAGAGCACAGATGCTATTCCTACATAACAGGTTCATGAAATTTTTGGCTACATATCAAAAAGAGAAAATTGGCCTGATCTGATGGGTCTACTGGGAAAGGCTTACAGAAGAAATCCTGCAGACTGGCCTGGTCACCTTCCTCATGCCCCCTCAAACTTATAAGTTGGGCTGGATCTAGCATGTTTTACCTGAGCCTTAGATTTGTGAAACATGTATAAATATATTTATCATAAATGAGCTGTGATAATTGTCACCCTGAAATTTATAAAAACAGGAACAACGTAACAGCCAACTTCAAACGTTTAGTTCTGGGAAGACAAGACTCAAGTTACACAAATGTCCTGTGAACTCAGGTTCAATCTTAAATCCTATCTTAAATCCTATGCCAATTTTAAATCCTATGCCTGGAACATTCCATATTTAAGGATATAATCAATGAACAAATATATGCTGAAAGGCTCTTGTGAACAAGAACCCATTTAGGTTCAATGAAAGACAGATGCCTATCTTGGCCTTGCTAGGTTATGACTATGGCTGATTACTGCCACAGTCAGGATATAAGACCACTTGAATAACACTGTGTGGCTCTTATAGAATTCTATATATTCTAGGAAGTGAAACTGAAATTCCTTCAACTACCTCCAATAGTGGTTCTTGAAATAAAAACATGTTTCAGTCATTCACATAAAACTGTCACACTGAAGAAAGCATAAAGCAGAGGAATGTTGACTAATGTCTAACAATGAAACTAGTGCTGAACAATTTTGTCTTTTGCAAGAGGTATCCTATAGGTACAACCTCCTTAGGGTTGGTAACATTTGCACAGTCAAGATATTTTTCTGGAAGCCGGTAAGATGTTTCAGAAATTAGAGCTTTTAGGTAAAAAAAAAAAAAAAAAAGGCATGTTTTAAAAAATTATAAATTTAATTAAAAAATCCTCAAAGGTCATAGGTTATTACGATAACATAAGATAGGTCTTTCAAATTAAGAGAATAATGGATAAAACGAGTTTTATGGTATTTTGGAACGTGTATTTTAGTATGTCTTTAAAACGGATATAGAGTCTCAATATGATAAGATATTGCTTGCAAATTACCAAACCCTCCTCCTTTCTTTTGGTATAAAGAAATGAATGAAAAGAGAAGGTAACTACCAAAAAGGAATACCCCATACAATGTGTATTTCAGGTGGGTAAAAGCATTCAAAAGGCTGATTTGTGGGCATGGCACATCACAGATCCCCAGTCAACTGTCCCTCCAGGAACCAGAGAACAAGTAGCTTCAGTTGACTATGTTTATTTACCTATCCAGCAAGCAGGGGAGATATATGGTCTGGTAAAAAAAGGTCAACTAGACAAGAAAATTTGCATACTTTTGGGCTTTCAGCTAAGCTATATGCTAACTAAGCACATGGAGAAAACAGACTTGACTTACCTGCACTGCCGAGCTGTTTATAAAACCTGTACTCTAAATGAAGCTGTGGAGCACGTGATTTTATTGGTTCCTGAAACCCAAGAAGAGAAATTGTGATCAGATGTAGACAAATAAAATTTTTCCATTCCTAGGTTTTCAAAGTAAACCAGGGCTAAGACCACTTAATATTTTAGAGATGATATCCATATATGATAGCATTTTCTTACCACAATTTCTCTTTGAAAACACAGCTAGGGGAAGATGAAGCTGAAGTATATACAATCCCTTCCAGGATATTTAAGTACAAATACTCTGTATGAGCCATCATTCAAGGATAGCTCCCTCACCATGAAGTATTCTCCTGAAATGTATTCTCCTAGGAAACCAGATGCGAAACGTTTTAATTAAAGACCAGCATGTATTCCCTGCCTGTTTTATTATGAATTTTGGGTGATAAACAGTGTTATTTCTAGAAAAATGATATATGCTCCGAAAAAAATTTCAAATATACAAAAATTAGGAAGAGACTAAAAATAATCTGGGATCCTATCATTTTAAAGAAAAGCACTATTAACATTTTGGTGACTGTCCTTCCAAATATTTATACATATATTTAGATATAATATAGACTTGAAAATATATTTAAAATAAATGAGATCATACTATATTTTTCTTCTGTGTCTTTAAATTCAACAACATAAGGATGACATCTTCCCATGGCAGTAAATAGCTTTATATAATTTTTTTTTTTTAAAGGAGGCTCCATGTCGAACATGGGGCCTGAACTCACGACCTTGAGATCAAGAGTCATATGCTCTACCGACTGAACCAGCCAGGTGTCCCATAAAGCTTTATATAAATTTTAATAGCTGTAGTATTCCCCTGTGTGTGTGTGTGTGTACACACATATACCATAATTTTTGGACATTTTGGCTGTTTTCAGTTTTATTATGAATAATCCTGGAGGAACATTATATGCATATTTATTTTTACACTTAAGAAAATTAAAGATTGTAAATGCAATTAAAATATGTATCTTAAAAAAATAAAATATGTACCTTTAATCAATTTGATGTTCAAGTTTGCAAAAATAGTGTTTTTAAAGACCCTGGAGATAAAACAGCCAAACTACCACATTTTGCTCTACATCGAACTTTAAGAACTGGCTGGTTAATTATTCTGAACTGACAGTATACTGGGCAACTAGTTAACAAGAAAATCAAACATTACCCTGCAAAGTAGATCTATGTACCCATTAGGATAGCTATTATCAAAACCATAGAAAATAAGTGTTCATGAGGATGTGGAGAAATTAGAGCCCTTGTGCATTGCTGGTGGGGATGTGAAATGGTACAGCTATTATGGAAAACAGTTTGGAAGTTTCTAAAAAAATTAAACATAGAATTACCATATGATCCAGCAATTCCACTTCTGGGTATATGCCTAAAAAACTGAAAGCAGGGACTCAAACTGATATTTGTATGCCCATGTTCATAGCAGCATTATTTACAATAATCAAATGGGGGAAGGGACCCAAGTATCTATCAACAAATGAACAAACAAAATGTGATTATATTTTGCTACACACACACACACACACACACACACACACATTTTTCAGCCATGAAAATGAAAGACATTTGGACACACACTACAACGTGGATGAACCTTGAAGACACTACGCTAAGGAAACTAAGCCAGACACAAAGGATCAAATACTGCATGATTCACTGATATGAGGTACCTAGAGTAGTCCAATTTACAGAGACAGAAAGTTAAACGGTGGTTGCCAGGGGCTGTGAGGGAGGAGATGGAGAGTCAGTGTTTAATGGGAACAGAATTTCAGTTGAGGAAGATAAAAAAGTTCTGGAGAAGGATGGTGGCAATGGTTGCACAACAATGTGAATGTATTTAATGCCACAGAGCAGCACACTTAAAAATGAGTTAAAATGGAAAATTCCAGATACAATTCTTTATCAGATATATGATTTTTAAATTTTCTCTCCCATTCCATGGGTTGTCTTTTCATTGTATTCAGAGTCCTCTGATACACAAAAGTTTTTAATTTTTATGAAGTCCAATTAATCTCTTTTCTTGCTTGTGCTTTTTGTGTCATATCTAAAAAATCACTGCCAAATCCAATGTCATGAAGCTTTTCCCCTAAGTTTTCTTCTAAGAGATTTATATTTTTGGCTCTTACATTTAGGTCTTTGATCCATTTTGAGTTAATTTTTTATGTATGATGTAAAGTAAGGGTTCAACTTCAATGCACATGGATATCTGGTTTTCCTAACATTTGTGTAAAAAGCTGTCCTTTCTCCAGTGAATGGTTACTTGTCCTTTTATAAAGATAGGCTCAAAAGAAGGAGATCCCACAGTTTCCCTTGATAATCCCTGAACCCACTTGTTTTCTATATTTTTCTTAAGGTACAGAATCTATAAATCACAGAATTCAGAAGTTTCCTTGAAGTTATCCAGTCTATCCCTTTGCTTCTAGGAAGGTTTTATCTAAATCAATTCAGGCAGGCTGAACTAGTTCACATCCTTAATTAGCTCCATGAAAGAATTCATATCCTTCTTTGATTATAAAATCAGCAATCATCAGAGTTGAACTTCAAGTTTATCAAGATTCTTGTAGTCAAAAGAAAAAGTACATAAGACTAATTATACTGTAAAGTCACTTCTTTATTCATTTATGTCTTCAAATAGAGGAGGCTCACTCTTGAGAGTCTCCATTTGGCTTTAGATCTTCCACTGTAGCAACATTAAAGCAGCCAATTATGCAATTTGTCCTTCAGAAAATTCCCTAATAATTCACAAGGATCCAAATAGAAACAGGACAACAAGTTAATATGGAACCAGAGATTTATCTTTCTGGAGGTTTTTTTTCTGGAGAAAGTCTTTGGATTCTGACAAACCACAAGGAGCAATGAATGAAAAAGCCACAGATCCTTCTTCAAACATAATACTCTAAAACTTCACAGTGGACACCTTGATAGGAAATACTCAATCTGATGTTGGGTAACTAAGCTAGCAGATTAAGAAAAAAGCAAAAACTCTTTAGAGTTACAAGGCTGAAAGTGGGCACAGAGGTCACATATATTCAGACATGAGGAGATTTTTATCACAGATGAAAGGACTTACACCCTTTAGGCCAACCCCTTTAGCATATAGTTGAAGCCTGCTCAGACAATTAGAGCTTCAAGGTGCTCTTCTGGAAGCACTATAAATAAAGTACATTATAAACACTGAGTCTATGTCTTGTGGAAGACAGCAAGATTAGCAGCATGGAGAGAATTTTTTTTTTTTTTTTTTTTTAACAATTGTTAGAAAACTTCTGTTAAAAAGGACCTGAGAAATCTTGGTGATGGGGTAAAGGAAGGGCCATTAAACTATTTTATGTTGTATGTGATTCTTTAAAAAGGTTCCTAGAAATCTAAGAAACAAAAGCCCACAATGAAGATCCAAACAAAGTAGAAGGAAAACAGTACCAGCAGGGCTTCCTTATATTTCTGTGCCAGATGCTGATCACATTTCCACAGAGGGCTGGCTATTTGCCAGAATCACAGTTATTCTGGAACACACGTTTGCCTGAAATCCTAAACCGACAGTAGACGGCTACCTTGTAGGACTATAATGCTTAAGGCAAATTTTGCTGTTACAATGAAAAGAGCTCAATTACTGCCCTCCTAACTCCCATAGAGAACACAGCCCAACAGCAAGAGAGGAGGCCCATAGACAAGCCTTTATTTAAGATTTCTTTGAAAGAGAAATAAGCTCCTGAGATACTGGATGACATGAAGTCTATTTTTAGCTTTCACTCTTGGCCATACAAAGTAGAATAAAGTTTAATAAACTATAAGTGAAATGCAGTGATCCATCATGTGAACAATATGTTATCAGCTTATCTAACGAGGTTAACTAGTATGTACTTGGAAGAAGAAATCTAGATAGAAAAGATTGTCCCTAACAAAAAGCCTCAAGAGAAGTCTTGACAAATGAAAGTACAATAACAAAGATACAGTATTGAGACAGTATTTTAAAGTGTTTCAGGAGCTACTTCTTCCTGTTACTAGTCCAACTTACCGAAGCAGTAAAACAGAGAAAGTAAAAAAGCAGATGAACTAGGGAACACTTTTACAGAACCAAATTCCTATAAATAAAAAATACGGTTAATCCTTTGATATTCAATCTGAGAAAATGTTTGGCCTGCATTGTAACATGCATTACCTGTCTTCCTGCTCCCATTTCTCCAAGAATTACAAGTCAACAAACAAAAGAAAACACTTGGTTCCCTAGCAGCTACCTGCTCTAAGCCCTGCTTCCTATCCATGTCTTTGTAGAGAAACCAATCTGATAACTGTCTGACAGTTGTCTTCACAAGACAACTCTGACTTTTCTATAAACTGACAAGTTCAATCCACACACAGAGCAGGTGTGGATGTGGTAAGTGCAATTCATTAGAAAAGAACAGCATTATCACAATTATCACAAGATACTTCCTTCAATCATTAACTCCTCTGTCTTCCAACTAATAAAGCCCCAAACTGCCTGCATATCCTGGGAGACTTACTAGGAAGACAAACATTTACACAGTATCATAGAAACTAGTCATATGACATATTTCATATGACTAGAAATGATTTTGTATTGACCTTAAATATAAGATAAAGAATTTTCTTCTACAATTACTCTTCCTCAAAAATAACATTTTTTTTAACAGGATGCTATATTTAATGATCATGTTAGTTATTCCTAAGATTAGTATTGACAAAACCAAGCCAACTTCTTGTTTCAAATTTGACCACAAGAGTTTCACATTTGACAGCTTTTTAAGGCAATGATTTGATGATCAGATTTGGTTCTCTACTACTAAGTATATTAATAAATACCTTACATTTTAAAAATGGATTAGTTATAGTCAAGCAAAAGAAAATGATAAAATTTCCAATGATTTTATCTTTTAAAATAGCACTGTGAAAGGTACGAACTTCACAGAAATTACAAGTCTTCTAGCAATTGTTTTACTTCCAGTTATTTTTTAATAACTATTTTTTGATTCATTGTTGCTGAAACTATAGTTAGCATCCTCTAACTATATAGCATAACTCAGTGTACAGTGACACATCACTGTAACGCTACATATATGGTTGAAGGAAAGTGACTATGTGGGATCATATGCAAAGGGAAAAAAATCAGTATTTTTGTGAATGCTTACAACTATTTCTTGTAAAAAGATATGTGAGGGGTGAGAGCACCAAAACATAATTACCACAAATATAAATTCTACTCACCAGTTTGATAGCTACATACTCATTGGTGTAGAGATTTTTACCTAGGGGAAAAGCAGAATGTATATGTTTTAGTGACATTTATTTTGGGAAATGCAAAGCAAAATCTTAGCTTACAGGGTCATGAGAAAGGTCACATTCCCAAAGCTATTCACATATATGAAACATGATTTATAAGTGAAAAGCTAAACAGAGATAATGAGACCCAGTAAGACAAGAATAGAAACCACTTGAGAATTTGGAAATTTAAGTTAGACGTGAGAACTTAAAAAAGAAAACAAATCTCTTTTCTCTCTCACACACATTTTGTTATTTGTTATTTCCCAACTATTAAACCATGAAGCAAACCAAGAAATGCCAGAATGTCAAAGACACAAATTTTAACTCTTGGCACAACAAACACAAACCCTCAATTTTTTAAACTCACTAACAAATGGGGATTATATATTATTTGTCACAGTATTTAGTGTCAACTTGGCAAAAAGGACAGTGTGAAATAAAACCAATTACTGCCCTATTGTCCTTTTGGAAGACTCATCTAAGTAGATGATTCTCAAAGCTGTTGTGATTCTTCACCAGAACTCTAGCTCTTTATGAGCAGAAAACAGCTCTTCACCTGGACAACACTTAGACGTCTCAGTTCTTCCCGCAATATTAACGATTTTTTTCCTCTCCAACTTCTCTACCTGTATAAATGGAATCAATATTCTCCTAGACATCTAAAGTAAGTGCCTGGAGTGAGGATGAGGATGAAAGCAGCAATTAACCACTTGGTAAGCCCACACCCATGCTGGGTACCCTCACCTGCCCATCTCTACTGATTCTTGAAGGCTAATTCTAATTCCTCCTGAGTGTTTAGTTATGGCATTGGACTTCACATTATTTCTTATATATTTGTCCTATCTTAATCAGCTAGATTATAAATATCTTTTTTTTTAAAGATTTTACTTATTTATTTGACAGAGAGATAGTGAGAGCAGGAACACAAGCAGGAGGGAGTGGGAAAGGGAGAAGCAGGCTTCCCGCCGAGCAGGGAGCCTGATGTGGGACTCGATCCCAGGACCCTGGGACCACTACCTGAGCCGAAGGCAGACACCTAACGACTGAGCCACCCAGGTGCCCTAGATTATAAATATCTTGAGGATAGGAATTTTATCTAACTGTTCTCTCAATGTCCTATGGTGCTTAAGACCAAGTTCTGCACATCTCAAAGACACCCCAAACCTGATTGATGAAAAGTAACTGGCACATATAGTATAATTACTTTTTTTTTAAGATTTTTTTTTTTTTTTTTTTAATTTGACAGAGAGAGACACAGCAAGAGCAGGAACATAAGCAGGGGGAGTGGGAGAGGGAGAAGCAGGCCTCCTGCTGAGCAAGGAGCCCGATGTGGGACTCAATCCCAGGACCCTGAGATCGTGACCCGAGCCAAAGGCAGACGCTTAACGACTGAGCCACCCAGGTGCCCCCTTTTTAAAGATTTTATTTATTTATTTGAGAGAGAGAGACACAGCGAGTGAGGGAACACAAGCAGGGAGAGTGGGGGAGGGAGAAGCAGGCTTCCCGCTCAGCAGGGAGCCCGATGTGGAGCTCGATCCCAGGACCCTGGGATCATGACCTGAGCCGAAGGCAGACGCTTAACGACTGAGCCACCCAGGCACCTGTATAATTACTTTTTAAATAATATATAGGGGGGCGCCTGGGTGGCTCAGTCGTTGGCCGTTGGCCGTCTGCCTCTGGCTTGGGTCATGGTCCCAGGGTCCTGGGATCGAGCCCCCTATCGGGCTCCCTGCTTGGCAGGAAGCCTGCTTCTCCCTCCCCCACTCCCCCTGCTTGTGTTCCCTCTCGCTGTGTCTCTGTCAAATAAATAAAATCTTTAAAAATAATAATAATAGAAGTAAATGTTATATTTATACATACACACATATGTACATAGTTGAATATATATGCATGGAAAAGGACATAGAAAGATGTATATTAAGGTATTAAAATGACTGTTTCTTAGTATTTTCTGATTTTTATATACTATAGTTTGTTTTTATAATGAACAACATGCTGCTTGCAATATAAGTTCCTATTTTAACCAGGATCTAGACAACAGATGGCCCTTTGCAAACCATACTATTATATTTTTAATACTGCTATCAGGTTGCCAAGCACCTTTATGTGTCAAAGAGTACACTAATTTAGGAATAACTTTTGTCTGCAAATAACATAATAAAGAGGACTCACAGACTGCCAGAGAAATACCTAAGAAACCATTTTAAGATGAACAACTTCTTTTTTAAAGAAGTAGAAAACAGATATTTTTTCTCTATATATTAACTGCATTTAGCTTCTAAAAGTTAATTTGTGTTTCTGATTAATCCTCTCACCAAAAACATTTTTAAAAATATATTTGATGAGATTGTGTAAAAGATACTAATAACTTGGAGAGGATAGTTGAAGTAGAAACAGACAATAGAGGCAGATTAAAACTCCAATTTGGCAGGGCATCTCATATTTGTGTGGATTCCCTGCATGTATAAAATTAAATTTTATTTTCTCCAAAAACAGGGGCAGTGCCTGGGTGGCTCAGTGTGTTAAGCCTCGCCTTCAGCTCAGGTCATGATCCCATGGTTCTGGGATTGAGCCCATGTTGGGCTCTATGCTCAGTACGGAGTCTGCTTCTTCCTCTCCCTCTGTTCCTCCCCCTGCTCATGCTTGCGCACGCTCACTCTCAAATAAATAATCTTTAAAAAAAAACAAAAAACAAAAAAACTCCAACTTGGCTACAGACTTATCCCACACCAGATACGATACTGCATAAAGATTTTTCAGGACAGCCCTTCCTGGCACAGTATAAGCACTATTATTGTGACCCAGAACCAATTTTGGCACAAGGCTGACCCTAAGAACTTAGTATCACTTAGAGGAAAATGGTCAAGTTTAAAATTGTAAACATGTTTAGGAGTCTTTATGAATTGGATACCACCCCTCCCCCCCCTGCCCAGCCAGTTTTTTTAACAGTAAGAATTCCTACGGGGGTAGAGGCACCAAAATTCACCCCTTACTCATTTAAAGTATAACATGCCTTTACTGTCAAAGAATTAACCTAACCTTTGAAGTACATGCTTAACATAACAGATCTTCAATTCAACAGATACAACATTTAAGTAAAATAAAGTGGTGGTGTAAGTGTAAGAGTAATAAACCTAGATTCTGATCTGTGTATTTATTAAGTATATATATTTAAAACATACCAATAACTGAGAAAGGCAGTTTAATGGACTGTGAAAAGAGAGAAGGCAATTCAGGAGTTCTCAGGGAAGAAATTCTTTTCTTTCTTCCCCCCATCTACTTCCTGGCTAGCGTCTTAAAAAATGAGTTGAATTTTAATAGATGAAGAAGGGGAAAAGGCATCCCAAAGCAAAGAAACTGTATGAAAAAACAAAAAATCGACAAAGTATATGGTATAGCCTAACAATGATAGGTGGTCTGGGAGTAGATGGACTGTAAGTTGCATCATCAGGTTCTGGATGGAGCAGGAATAGGCAATGAGTGGTTAGGGTAGCAAAAGAGACTAGAAAAGTAAGGCCACATAAGAAAAATCCTCAATGCCATCTTAAAGTTTAAAACAAAAAGTTTTTGTAGGGTAGTGATATGATCAGATCTGTGATTTTGAATAACCATTTGTGAGGAAGCATAAACAATGAACTAGAGACCAGGGGTGCCTGGGCAAAACAGCTGGTTAAGCCTCTGACTCTTGGTTTCAGCTCAGGTGGTGATCTCAGGGTTGTGAAATCGAGCCCTGCAACGGGCTCTGCACTTAGTGCGGAGTCTGCTCCTTCTGCCCCTCCCCTCCATGCTCTCTCTCTCTCTCTCTAAAATAAATAAATAAATCTTTTTTAAAAAGAAGGAAAGAAAAATAAGAGACCAAAGGTAGGGGAAAGCATTTGAACATTTAATACCCAGCCTATGCAATATCAGACATCTAACACTCAGTTCTCACCCTGCAGAGACTGTATTCTAGCTCCTCACACAGGGCCTTGCACAGGTGGCTCAATTATTAAATTAATCACATAATGTGATGAGTTAAAAGAGAAATATGAACAGGTTAATACAGGAGCTTGGATGAGGGAGGGTAAAGCATTTGGCCACAAGTGGCATTTGAGGTGAGCCTTGAAGGGCAAAGACAGGAGACAATAAAGGGTATTTCCTCATATATAATAAAATACTAATTTGAGGGCGCCTGGGTGGCTCAGAAGGCGACGGCCTTCAGCTCAGGTCATGATCCTGGAGTTCCGGGATCGAGTCCTGCATCGGGCTCCCTGCTCGGCGGGGAGTCTGCTTCTCCCTCTGACCCTCCCTCCTCTCATGTGCTCTCTCTCTCTCATTCTCTCTCAAATAAATAAATAAAATAAAATAAAAAATACTAATTTGAATAGTGAGGTGGAAACATGATAGAAAATGTGCAGAATCTGATATACTGTGGGTAGACCAATATGAATGGAACACAAAGTATATGGAGAGAAATGGTGAGAAGTAAAGCCAGAAAGATCCAATAGGGACAGGTGAATACCTTGAACACCAGCTTCTTACTCTAAGGTATTCACAACCACACGTAGGTGGAGATGTGTCAGGTCATAAGGTACACAACTAAGACACACTTTTCCTAGATCTTCACTTTTCTTTGAAGATTTGGGGAAAATCTCTTTTATAGTTAAGCAAAAGTTATTATAGAAATTGCACAGATTTCATTTGAAGAAAAAAAATGCAAGAGTTTAAGGAAATCCCAGGCACTTATGGATGTGCTTCTTCCAGAGTGCAGGGGGGGGGTCTCACCAATCAGTAGGGAAGCTTTTTCTCATTTTCCCTATGTTCAGCTGGGCAGCCCAGTTTTCACAATGTATTTCACTTTTTACAGTGTGAACCTTCCATCTTCTTGTGAGCCAGGTGATGCCAGGGAGAGAGGTGATTTAGCCAACCAACTGCTTCATATATAGACTTGCCACTAAGTTCTCTGTTTTTACTCCTTCTGCATCCTTACTTTCTGAGTTCCTAG